CCACCGTTTTCTCCAGCACGTGTTCGGTTATACGAATGGCGGCCACACAGGGAGAGCACTAATGAGCCAGGGGGGTGGCTGGTGTGTAGTTTTCTTCACAACTGTCTAGTAGAATGTCATGGAATATTCATATATATTTTCAAGAGTTGTTTTTCTATTTTTCAGTTCTGTTTCTATTATTTTGTAAGTGCATTTGAGGATTAACATTTGATAGGTATATACAATATTACACTATCTGTTTTTTTTTTTAACATTTTTTATTAATTTATTTTATTCCATATAATAAATGGCATATTGATTGATGAAGAAAGCAATTCAAATGATATACCCCTGAGAGGGGTATATTCTTCTGACTTCATATCTTTCTTGAATTATATTGTACTATACCGTATCACACTATGTAAAGTTTTTTGTTTCACCATTTGTAGCGATCGTCAACTCCTAGGATACACTTGGAAGGGCTATTATATCCCCCATCTGAACACAGCACTATAGATTGTATATATCTTGATTGTTTTTTGGTAAAGGTGTTCTATACCATAGATTCCTTTTTATAGTTTATTTTGGTTTCACTGTGTATCACTGCACCAATCCTACTGTTAGCTGTAGTTGTGCTTTTTTCTTTTTTCTTCTTCTTCTAGTTGTATTTGCATCAAATGTATGGTTTTGTTGAGATAGCCTGGCATACAATGTAAATATGAAATGGTCAGTGATTCCCTGTTTGTTGCTTTTGCACACGAAAGAAAGCTAGTTGTGAAGGGAGAGTGCATTTATAAAAGTTTTTATTGCATTTTTGTGAATCTAGTATGAATGAGCTAGATTTCTGACATGAAAGTCCTCATATGTGGATATTGAGGAATTGAGAAACCAAGAAGAGACAATTACTAATGTGATTCAGGAAGGGTGGTAATAAATAAGAGGAAGAAGGTTTATCTGGTTGTCTTTGACTGCTCACTAAATTCAAAGGAAGTTATTAGATTTACAAGAAAGTGTACAGTGAGTGAAGAAGGAACTCCGATTCTTATGGTATGAAGCTGAAAGCATCCTGTTTCCTGTACAATACAGGTATACACGTATTAGACATTTATTTTCCTATGCTATTTCAGACAAACAAATTATAACACTCACATGTGCTGGAGCCTAACATTGGCTCCTAGAGCACAGCATGGTGTAGTATGATCCCCACTCTGGAATACATAGGTGGTGCAGGTCCTCTCTGTGTATGTAAAAGGAAAATAAAACAAAGTGCACACTGTAAAATAGGAGTGTAAAAGCAGAATAAAACTTGGTTACATGGGAATGAGCAAAATATGGCTTGCTGAATATTAAGTGCATAGGTGGTAGCAGGAGTAGAAAGAAGCTGCAAACCTGCTGAAATTAATATTTCTACCTTCATCCCATTGTCTGTAGCTGTACTGAGGCAAGAATGTATTACAGTCCTCTTTGAAAAGTCTCTTTGGAATCTAAATGCAACAGCTAACTCTTCAAGCACTTACAGGAAATATTAAAAATGCCATTCCCGTGGCTATCTCCAGAATATATACTAAACACTATATTTTAACTTCATTTGAAGAATGCAGGTAAAAAAACAAAAACTTAATTCCTTGTCTTCAAGTTTCTCTACATTGCAAATTAGTTGACTTTCACTTTACGCTTTACTGTCAGCAAAAGCATTATCAAAAACAAATGTAATACTGTTGGTTGAATCACTGAATGAAGGTCATTGCATAAACAATCCATTGCATAAATGACTAGCATTTGGGAGTTTTGTTTTCATAGTTTTGTCCAAGACAAACTATTACAGACGCTGCCCCAACACAAAAATCTCCCCCTCTCTCCCATTACCTTATTCTACTTTAGTTTATTATTGTAGTACAGTTTCTAGTGCTCCACTCTTGTCAATTGTAACTATTTAGGCTTGACATAGATCATGATTATAAAATCAGCCAAAGTTTTTTCTTAGCTTAAAAATGTTTCTAAAAATGTCATTTAATTTGTAATAGTACATTTTAATTTGTTTGTCGGCCATGACTAATTCTGCAGTTTGGGACGTTTTATAGTTGAGAATTACACAGGCAGAAAGCAATCCTGCTTATTGACACCATTTCTGGCTGTTATCTGTTTGCTCTGTAATGAAATGCCAAAGTTCAGGCCTGAAAATGCCACATCTACAGAATGTGGTAGTAAATTATTAGCCCTATAGGCAACACGATTGCCTCCACCAACTTCAACTATCAATACGTTGATATGGAGTATGCTTGAATGAAATGCAGAAAGAAAATCAAGAAAGAAAATAAAAATAAATCGTGTGTGTGTGTGTGTGTGTGTGTGTGTGTGTGTGTGTGTGTGTGTGTGTGTAAATTACTCCCAATGCATTGGGAATAAAAGTCAAAATATGTTGTTGTGTCATATCAATAAAACTTCATAAGAAAATATGTACAAAAAATACTTATTGGAACATTTCAACATAAAGAAATACATAGCTATAACTTGTATGTTTCATAATAGTAAGCAGACTCAAGAAAACCTGCACTGATCCCTATATGGATTTGATTTCTAATTTTGCAACTTTTAGTCTGTCTCTGTCTGTCTATCTCATACTCAAATGGAAGCCATAACATGGCAAAGACTCTGTGGTCAAGGTTAAAATGGACAGAGGCTTAAGTTAATTTGTTAGCATTCTAATAACGTACATTCACAGTGTCCCATGAATGAGGCAACACTCCTTGCATCCGAATAGTTGCACAGACAGGTGGCAGAATAAAATGGTCAGACATGATCCCTTAATAATGTTACCTACAAAATGCTGTGGCATGTGACGCAAGGAAGTAGTAGTATCTACAAGTATCTTGTCTCCTAACTCTTAATGGAACATGTCATGCCAAAAGCATGAGTTGGTGTTTGATGTGTGTTTATATATGTTAAGAGTAGTTTTTTTGTAAACCTTGGGATGACATTTATTGTGGTCTTTGATCTTGCACCAGGCCTAGACCATAAAACATCTAGATAGCCATCACCAGAGCTGGACACAAGGAATTTCATAGAGTGGGCAATAGACTGCCAGACCAGCCCCCTCTGATCCCCCCCAGGGGTCTGCCCACTGAGAAACAACTAGTTTAGATATATGAGGGTGTTGGACTATCCAGGGAAGTCAGTTATTCATTTTTCTTTTGTCAGTAACTTCTAGGAGATCTATACCATCTAAGACTCCCACAAGAATTCTATATGGGGTAAATATATGTAAGGAATTTCTTGTGTTTTCTCCTATTTTATTTTATGTACTGTTTTGCAATTTGTTATCTGTATGTCATTTATTTCTGTATTTTGTACTCAGCACTGTGAATCCTTTTTGTCAGATTAAATGTTTACTTAATCAGCTTGTGTCTCTGTTCTCTATGAGCTTCACTCTCCAGAGGAAAGCTCAGGTAAACACGTTACCAAAAAGGGTTAACTATATATGTTTTATCAGTAAAAGTAGAACTGTGATACTATAATTCTCCTGTGTGTGGGGTAACCTAAGACGCCCGGGTTTAAAAGTCTTGGTGGTGGCAGTAGTACTAAGGGGGATAGTGTAGAAGGGATTGCAGGGGTTAATTGAGTGGTTGCTGGGACTAGCAACAGGTAACCAGGGGTCTGGTGTCATTAACCCTGTCACTTCCACACTCTCCCCACTGTCTCGGCTGGGCCTATAGCCCACGCACGTGACAGAACACTATAGGGTCAGGAACACAAACCTGTATTTCTGACCCTATAGTGTTAAAATCACCATGTAGCCCCCCTCCCCCCGCACCCCCTCACGCCCTTTTGCTCCTTTTAATATAGTAAACTCTTAATCTTTATTGCAATCTGCTTCTGCTGGCTCTGCCTCTGATCTGCCTGTTTGGCTGACATCATCAGAAGTGTTGATCTTAACCAATCATAATGCTTTTCCATAGGAAAGCATTGAATTGGCTGATCATGCCAAGGAGGCAGATGAGGGGCAGAGCCAGCACAAGCCACACACAGCCCTGGCCAATCGTCATCTCCTCAAGAGATACATTGAATTAATGCATCTCTATGAGGAAGGTTCAGTGCCTCCATGCACCTCAAGTAGCCATCTGAGGAGTGGCCAGTACAGGTATCACTAGACTGTAATGTAAACATTGCATTTTCTCTGAAAAGACCGGGTTTACTGCATAAAGCCTGAAGTGGATAATTCTACTCACCAGAACAAATACAATAAGCTGTAGTTGTTCTGGTGACTATAGGTTGGAAATGTACCTGCAGTGTATAGTCTAAATGAGTTTGCAAGATATTGGGTACTGTAAACGGATTCTGATATCCTCCAGCTATTTGTTTAACTTTTTATGTACAAATGGCAAAGACAAATTCAGGTTTTCATTGGTATGCTTTTTGCCTCATTAGACTAATTATAGTTTATTTTAAACACATAGCAGTATAAGTGTGATTTTAAACATTATTTGTGAGCCCACAAATCTAGGACACTGCTTCAATGGTGACATTTTGACTCTGCTTCAAAGCCCTCCTGTTGGTTTCTTGGGCAGCTAGTTAACTATGAGAGAGCGAGAGAGAGAGAGTATCTGTATCCAAGAGGGCTGCACTCACCTTAACATGCATACACCACAAAGCTGTCCAATTAACCCCTTAAGACCAGAGGGCGTACAACTACGCCCTATTTTAGGCGGCTCTAAACGCCGCCGGGCGTAATTGTACGGCCTCCGGTCTTTCATTACTTACCCGGTCGCCGGTGGTCCCAGGGAGCCCCCCGCGGCACGTCCAACCCCCTGGAAGCCCCCCGGCCATGTGAGAGTTGGGGTCCTTGCGAGGACCCCACAATCACATGGCCGGTATAGCTGGCTTCAGTATTGCCAGCAGGGGGGCTGCCTGTAATGACAGGTGGTCCCCCTGCTGGCTGTAAATGAAATAAAATTAAGTGTTAAAAAAAATATATATATACTTAGATCATATATATATTTTATATATATATATATATATGATCTAAGTATGTATGTGTGTGTGTATGTATGTATGTATGTATGTATATATATATATATATATATATATATATATATATACACATACACATACACACACACACACACACGTACACCGTCTAGGTGTATTTTACTATTAATATATATATATAATTGTTATATATATTTATATATAATATAAAAAAAATTAAATATGTAAATACGTTAAAAATAAAAAAATGTATAGATGTGTTATTTCTTTGTAACTGTATTGTGATATTAATATATATTTATATCAAAATACACGTAGAACGAAATAATATATATCTACATACATAAATATATACGTATATATTCCTATATATATACCTATATATAAATAAAAATATTTTAAAAAAATTATATATATATATATATATATATATATATATAATATACACACACACATATAGATTCACATACGTGTATATATATACATATATTAATTCTACATATATATTTATGTAATATTTTTACATAATTAGGTATCTTAATTAATTACAATTAGCGGGACCTGCCTGACAACCCATGCCGAAAGTAAAGGGAATTTAATTTGCTAGCACTATATTTAACCCTATAACTTTCCAAGACACCATAAAACCTGTACATGGGGGGTACTGGTCTACTCGGGAGACTTCGCTGAACACAAATATTAGTGTTTCAAAACAGTAAAATGTATTACAACGATGATATCGCCAGTAAAAGTGACGTTTTTTGCATTTTTCACGCACAAACAGCACTTACACGGACGATATTATTGCTGTGATACTTTTTACTGTTTTGAAACACAAATATGTGTTCAGCGAAGTCTCCCGAGTACAACAGTACCCCTCATGTACAGGTTTTATGGTGTTTTCAAAAGTTACAGCGTCAAATATAAGGCATGCGTTTCATTTTTTTCACATTAAAATTCGCCAGATTGGTTACGTTGCCTTTGAGACCCTATGGTAGCCCAAGAATGAAAATTACCCCTATGATGGCATACCATTTGCAATAGTAGACAACCCAAGGTATTGCAAACGGGGTATGTCCAGTCTTTTTTAGTAGCCACTTAGTCACAAACACTGGCCAAAATTGGCGTTTTTTTGCATTTTTCACACAAACAAATACTAACGCTAGCTTTGGCCAGTGTTTGTGACCAAATGGCTACTAAAAAAGACTGGACATACCCCATTTGCAATACCTTGGGTTGTCTACTATTGCAAATGGTATGCCATTATGGGTGTAAATTTCATTCCTGGGCTACTATAAAGTCCCAAAGGCAACGTAACCAATCTGGCGAATTTCAATTTCAAATGTAACGTGCTATATTTGACCCTGTAACTTCCCAAAACGCCATAAAACCTGTACATAGGGGATACTGTTTTACACGTGAGACTTTGCTGAAAACAAATGTGTATTTTATTGCAGTAAAACCAAGCAGTATTATGACATTGACAGTTAAAATGTCATGTAGAACTAAAAAAATAAAAAAAAATCTTATTTTCTCCAATTGTTTTCATATCAAATTATGTTTCACAGCTAAATATTTGACATTAAATGAAAGCCCTGTTTCCCCTGAATAAAATTATATATAATAAGGGTGGGTGTATTTAATATGAAAGAGGTGAACTACGGTTGGACAGACGTGTAGCGCAAATGCCAGTTTTTGTTTACATTTTGTTTCGTTCACAACGTGTACATTTGGCTCCGTCCTTAAGGGGTTAAAGCAGTATCCTCAAGGTGAAACTGACAATGCTGGTTTGAAAATAGAGCTAGATTTGGTTTGATACTTTTCCTGCTATGCCTTAGGTGATCACACATATCTGGAACAGATTTAGTTTTAGTAACTTGAACAGATGAAAGTGCACATATAAAGTATTAAAGATATTCATGTATGTCTGTGATTTTAAAGAGAAACTGTCATTCCCAGAAAAGAGTGTACATTTACCCAAGTAAAATGCGATACATGCAATCGCTTAGCAGATTATAGCACTTTAACATGGTCTTGCACATAGGGTCACCCTTGAGGAGTTTTTCAAATGTAGCATTTTTCCCTAGTTATGGCATTCAAGGAAACTGTCTTCATTTGATATTCAGCCTTGTTGTGTTAATGATGCTGAGATACCCTGCTTAGCAAATCAACCTAGTTTGTTAGTTTCTCATTAGTGCATATACTGGAGGTAATAATTAATTTTTACTTGTCAATCATCGTATTTAAGACAACTTGCTATTTAACAAATATTTTGTGTAATATTAAAATATTCCTGGCAGACCCTAGAGTAGTTATTCTATAGCGGCTGAAAACATGATCTTGATTTGTATGTACCTTTGTCCAAAAATCAATACGATGGTAATCATCTATTCTAAATCAACATGATGGAGAATGCGCGTAATAAATTGGTTCACAACAATATGTGTTCTAAATTCTAGTAAATTGAGCTTGTTTTCGTTTACCAACAAATACTCTAAATATGAGTTCATGTTTTATGGTATTACAGATTGTAACAAGATTATGAGAAAATTATACATGTTTATGTACAGCAGTAAAAGGTATTGGAGTACATTTCTAATTTAATCTGCTTTTACCAGTTCATGCAGTGAGAAAAATAGATGATCAAAATAAATTGCATTGTAAAACCTTAACTATACATGTCTAGGATGTGTAACTCAAGAACAAGATTACGTCTGCATTTGCGCTGCCAATGCCATCTAGGAAATAATTGTATCAAGAGTTTGAAATGTATCTGAGCAAACATATTGAATTACTGCAAGTATTTGGCCGTACCTGTAACAATCAGTAAATATGCAGGTAATACTCCTTTTCATGCCTTCCAATCCTGCATAAGTGTGCTTTGTGTAGATTTACAGCTCCGATATGGGAACCACATTAAAGTAAACGTACACCGAAGGAAAACATATCTTGTGTTCAGTTTGCTCTCATAGAATTTTTTATTCAATGCTTTGATGTAATAAACGTGTAAGAACTTTCTGTTCCAATTAGGGTGATCACTCCTTCTCAAGTGAATTATCCCATTCTGATCTGCCCCAAAAATTCATCACCATTGTTACATTTTCTCAATGAATACTAAATATTTGACACATTTTTT